TAGATAGATAGATAGATAGATAGATAGATAGATAGATAGATAGATAGATAGATAGATAGACATATGATAGAGTAGTGGTTTGAAAAAGGATGGGCCTCATAGTTTCAAATATTAGAATGCTTGGTCATTAAGGAGTAGTGCTACTTGTGAGAGATTAGGATGTGGTCTTGTTGAAATGAGTGTCTCCTTGTTGGAGGATATGTGTGACTGGGATAACTCCAGGGTTTCAAAAGTCCAGGACAGGCCTAGTGTTTCTCACTTTTACTTTTCCCTGTGGATCTGGATGTAAAATTCTTATCTCTTCCTTCTGCACTATATATGCCTACATATATAGTAGGCATACTTACCACCATGTTGGTAATGCACTAAACCTCTAAAATGGTAAAGAAACCCCAATTAAACTGACTAAGATAGCAGTTGTTAGCAGAGACTGGGATATTTTTGTGACAGACATGACATGCCCCTTGTTGGTGGATCATGGACTTTGGGACTTGGGATTAGAAAAGCAGACAAACAATTTAAATGGAGATTTAATGGGAGAATAATATTAGTACACGGTCTAGAGAGCATTATTGTGATATTTTGGTAAATAATGTCGTTACTTTCTGTTCTTGTCCAAAAATATCTACCTGACACTGAATTGAAGAGTTTCAGATTAATGGCATTAGCACAGGAAATTTCAAGACAGCCTGGTACTGACTCTGTCTTGTGACTGTTCGTGGTTCCTCTGATATAGATCTGCCATGAAAAGCAACAAACTGAGCAGGGAATAATACAAAATGAACAGTTTGAGGAGAAACTTGGCACCAGGGAGTGTAATAAAAATAATTTAAATCAAAACTCAATTACTATGAAAAATTTAATTTTAATCCTTGGAGAATGACATAATTTAATTTTTTTATCAAAGTAACACAAATTTATTGGTTTTGTACAACTTGAGATCAAATAATAGTACATTATCAAGATTTGTAATATTTTAAAAGCACATGAAGGTCAATTTAAAATGCACCACTACCTCCTCTTTTCAAACAGTGAGCTTTAAAACTAAAAAAAAAAAGTTGAAAAATGAAAATCAGGACGAGGTCATTTTCTTGTAGTGATGGGCTAGATAAGCAGGTTGTACTCACTGGTAAAGATGTGAAATAAATTATTGGGAACAAAGTAGCTATGAAAATGTGAACAACTCTAATTCAAAACATCATATTTTACAGCCAGTTTTATTTGCAAATTTTTTTCTGTTTCTTAAAGTCTACTTAGCCGTCAAAAAAAGGTTAGTGCATATATAACCTTCGAAAGTAAAACAAAGTCACAAAAATTTAGCCACAAGGCTCAAAAGGCTTATCTGTCACAAATGCTTGTTTCCAGATGTAACTCTAAGAATGTTAATTTGTCATGTCAACAAATAAGACCATTAAGTAGGTCACTGTGTTGGAGGATTTCATGACATTTGGGGTAACATGCAATCAGTGCATTCCCTGCATGGCTCTATCACGGCAAGGACTGAAACTCTAGAAATACTCTAAGTGAACGCACCAAGGATCATACGACAGAGACAAGTCCATACCTGCCGTAGATGTATGTAGCTGTTCCTTTGTGTTAGAAGCAGCAGTTGCACAGCTGCTTGATCACGCAAATGAATTATCACCATGGCAGTGCTGGTCACCCAGGTACCACTTTCTAAAAGCTTTTGTTGTAAAGAACTAGAGATCACAACTGGGGGTTCTGTGGCCATTGGTAATGTGCAGCTGTATACATCTAGGTGAGATGAACACACACAGCATTAGGGATCATGAGGAATGATACCGAGGCCCACCTGCACCCAGCTTCAGGGACTCACTCACTCATATCCATGTCTTCTTCATGGTGATCATCCCTGTTCACTTTGGACTATCGAAGGTCAGCCATTCCCTTCTCCACAGAGCACTCCTTGGTTTTAGGGGACATTGCTTCTGTTGGTCTCTTCTCCTCCTTCTTCTCCTTCTCGCTGTCATAGCCCTGCTCCTCTTCATCATAATCCTGTGTCACCTGTTTGACGTCTTTGTCGCTCTCAGACTTCCTTTCCCGCTCCTTCTCCTTGTCTTTGCTCCTCTTCTTTTTACTTGTTGATGGTTCCCTTTCATCTCTGCTTCGTTCTTTGTCCTTATCTTTCTTCTTCTCTTTTTTATGTCTCCGTGGGGATGGTGAGCGGGTCAGTTTTCTTTTAGGAGACCTGGGTTTTTTAGGAGACCTTGTACCCCTCCTGCTTCGTTGCCGATGTCTCTCCTGCTTGCACTCCGAGAACGTCTGGCTATACTGTAGCTTTTTGGTGGGGCTTTGGAACGCTTATTTTCTTTGTCTTCTTTCCTTTTGTCTCTGGCTTTGGACGTGCTCCTTGACCTTTTACCCCTTTCTCTGGAATGAGATTGTCTCCGTCTTGGACTTTTGGATCTCCTTCTACTTCTGGTCTTTGAGTGTGATCGCCTCCTTGACCGGCTTCGTGACCGCCTGTGTTTGGAGGACGAAGGGGTCCTCCTCCTCCTTGAGCGCGACCTTGATCTCGAATGTCTTCTCTTCTCTTCCTTCTTGTCCAGCAAGTAAGAAGAATTCTTATTCTTCTTGACAGACTAAAGAGTGCAGTACAAGGTACACTAACCCCAGAAGCACAGACAGTGAAAGAAACAATTAATAAATGGGATCTCCTGAAACTGAGAAGATTCTGTAAAGCAAAGGACAAGGTCAACAAGACAAAACGACAGACTACAGAAGAGGAAAAGATCCTCACCAACCCCACATCAGATAGAGGACTGATCTCCAAAATATACAAAGAACTCAAGAAACTGGTCATCAAAAGACTAAATAATCCAAGAAAAAATGGGGTGCCGACCTAACAAGAGGAATCTGAAATGGGTGAGAGACACTTAAGGAAATTCTCAACATCCTTAGTCATAAAGGGAATGCAAATTAAAGCAACTCTGAGATTCCACCTTACACCTGTAAGAACAGCCAAGATAAAAAACACTTATGACCACTTATGCTGGAGAGGATGTGGGGTAAAGGGAACACTTCTGCATTGCTGGTGGAAGGTCAAATTGGTACAGTTGTTTTGGATATCAGTATGGTGATTTCTCAGAAATTTAGGGAACAATCTTCCTCAAGATCAGCAATACCACTTTTGGGTATATACCCAAAGGATGCTAAATCATACCACAAGGACATGTGCTCAACTATGTTCACAACAACATTGTTTGTCATAGCCTGAACCTGGAAACAACCTATATTCCCTTTGAGCAAAGAATGGATAAGGAAAATGTGTTACGTTTATACAATGGAGTACTACACAGCAGCAAAAAATAATGACATCTTGAATTTTGTGCACAAATAGATGAATCTAGAAAATATCATATTGAGTGAGGTAACCCAGACCCAGAAAGACAAATATCATATGTACTCACTCAGAAGTGGCTTTTAGACATAAAGCAAAAAATAAAAAATAAACTTGACAATTTATAATGCCAGAGAACATAGAAAATAAAGAGGACTCCAAGAGAGACATACATAGATCTAATGTACATGGGAAGTAGAAAAAGACAAGATCTCCTGAGTAAATTGGGAGCATGGGGACTATGAGGAAGGGTAGAAGGGGAGGGGAGAGGAAGGGGATTGGAAAAAACATATAACTCAATAAAAGCAATAAAAAAATTAAAAAAGAAAGTATGAACAAATTACCATAACTATGTACATTAGTAAAATGCTGCAGGATTATAATGTAAATAAATAAGTTTTAAAATTGTAACATTGGTGTTATCAACAACAAGAACTTCAATAAACCTAAAGATATGAACTAACACAAGATTTCCCAGCTGTGACATGACATTAGCAAAGTAAAATATCTTGGTTTCATGATACATTTTCATTCCCTTATTATCATAACTATATTTTTATTAGTAGTACTATTATTATCATATAATATATTACTATGTCAATACTATACATAATCAGTTTTTTTCAATGGAGTGATACTGGGTATATCAACCACTCTAGCACAGGCTTCATGGTCAAGGGTATTGACCCATGTAGGGAAGCAGGAAGTTGGCCTGGCCTAGTTGCCTTTAGAGGCAAGCATCATAGGTTTTTCAGGTTAGAGTCCATGGCTCCTGGGACACTGTGTGTAATTTCCTGAGAGACTGTCACACTGTTTCAGGTAGTGAAGCATTCAGGACACTCTGTGTTTCTCTGTATGTTCCCACAGAAGTCAAGGAAGCATGGAAGTTTAACAGAACAATTGGTCTTTGATTTAACCTTGTGTACCCTGTGAAGTTTGCCAACTTCATTTTCTCTTGGCAACTACAACTGCATTGGTCCTGGCAATAATTATTATGTTCTGTTTCTGATAAAGGTATAAAATGTCTGATTGCTTTCAATAAAAATTTTCAGAGTCTCAGTCTTGCTGTGGCTTCTCCACTGTCATAGTTTAATTCCTTGACCAGTTTTAATATATTACCTTGGCCGAGTAAGTGTGAGTACTTACAGGTCAACATATAATGGACACAACCATTTTTGTGTGCTTTTATTTGGTTGTAGTTTGTTATTTTTTTGTTTGTTTTATTTTCCTTTTGGGGTTGTTTCATTTGGTTTTCTTAGTTTGGGGAGGTTTTGTTTCTGCATTGTGTTTTTTTTTTTTTGAAGAAGGACTTAAAGTTGGGTGGGTCAAGAGGAGGAGGAAATCTAGACAAACTTGTGGGAGGGGAAGAATATGATCAAAATATATTTAATTTAAAATTGTTTTAATTAATAAAAATAATAGAAACAACAGAAAACAAATTATAATAAAACCACTTGTTTTCTTTCCTGCTGGAGTATAACTATATTGTAAGTTAAGTTCAGAGACAGCGATCAGGAATATTTTGAGAGACTGGAAATTCAACAGGACAGCTGATGATATTCTTGAAGAATAATAAAATAACCAGTAGCTGTTACTGTAAACTTTTGTCATCAAAAGAAAAATACTCTTTTAGTCCCCCAAAATGTTTGTCAGTGCACACCCCTGATAGAAGCACATTAAACATGTGTTTCCTAGTGGTAAATCTTATCTGAAGCTTTACTTTCCAATATTAAATTGATTTTCTTTCTAGAACTTAGACCTGTATACATGGAATATAAATTATAGTATACATTGATATAATATGTTGTAACTTATGATATATAACATATGTGTGCATATATTCAATAAAAGACCTTAGTATAACACTGCACTACATTTTCCTAGGTTGCTGGTAAAACGTGCTACCATAGCTACAATAATTTTATAACACACCCAGTCACTCGGGAGCTTTGAAGCTGTCTATGGCATCTGACTGAACTGAGGCTTCAATTTACAAGCACAGTTGGAAGCCTTTGAAAGCAACCTTCAGATGGCAGGACAGAGGCCTTGCCGATTCCGAACAGCTTCTGTCAAGAGTGATGACTAGGAAGCAGATACCCTCTGCCTCTGGGAAATCAAGTTTGTTTCTCATTTCGTCGCTGCCAGCTTTACAAGTCTCATCAGCCAGGACAAAGGCTTGTAATTATAAATCAATCCTCTGCGAGCCCAGTGCTGACACATTCTTATAAATGCCATGACCGCAGTGGCTCTCTCACTCTGGTGAAACAATATCGTTTGGGAATCCATAAGTATGCAGAGGGATCAGACTCGATCTCAGATCTCAGACGCCATACATTGGAGCAGGATCTGGAGACTGTCACTCTGACAGATGCCATAGCTATGGTGGAGATAGTTGTGAAATTGGGTGAGCATCTGTTTATTTAGTTATCAGCAGAGCCAGAAAAATAGTAAACTGAAGTAAACTGGAAGAGTTTGGGACACCAAAATGAGAATACGCTGTTTATTTATATTCAATAGTTTTATTTTGCCTAAAACATTCTAGATGATAGTAAATAGATTTTTAATATTGTGGAAAAAAGCATATGAAACAACTTTTATGGCATGACAATTATAATCCAGACAACACTGTTAAAATAAATGATGGTCTACCTTATAGAATGAGAGCAGCAGATTGAAAGCGGCAGGTTATTCAAGCTCTCAAATAAAATGATCTGAATAAAATGAAGTTAGCCAGCACATATCAGACTCTACAGGGTGTGTGTCTTTGAGTGTGCATATTCTTGTGTGTATGAGCGTCAGTGTGTGTGAGAGTGTGTTTGCATACATGTACGAGTATGTGTTTGCTTTTTTCTGTTTTTTTTTTTTTTATTTGCTTTAGGATTTTTTTAGAGAGAAAGGACCTGAAGTTGGTTTGGAGGAAGGTGAGAGAAAGACTGTAAGGAACTGGGAAAGAAAAGAAAATAGCCAAAATATAGCATATAAGATTCTAAAAAAAATAGAACCATAAAGCAAATTGGAATAATGGTTGTATTTTATTTTTCATTAACTGGTGGCATTCTTAACTGACATTTAGAAAGTCTTTGTGCAGTAATTCCAGGGTCTCAGAGATTTGTAGAAGATTGTTTTAAGATGTGTTACATTTGTTTATGCTGTGGAATATTGCTTTCATGATGCAAGGATATGTTGTATTCTTTTATGCTTCATTTCTTTAACTCTGTGAACCTGTGTATTTTTGCCTATCTAAAACACTTGATTGTCTAATAAAGAGTCAAATGGCCAGTAGCAAGGCTGGAGAAAGGATAGGCAGGGCTGGCAGATGAAGAGAAATGATAGAAGGAGAAATCTGGGAGGAGAAAGACAGAGCAAGAGTGCAAGTAGAGATGACATTTGGGGCCAGACACGCAGCAACCCAGCCAATCATGGAGTAAGAGTTTAAGTATGACAAAGAGAAGTAAGAAAAAAACCCAGAGGCAAAAGTTAGAGGGGATAAGCAATAAAGCTGGCTAGAAATAAACCAAACTAGAGCTGGGCATTCACGGTGAAGAATAAGCCTTTTGGGTGTGTAGTTTATTTGGGAGCTGGGTGGCTGGCCCTCCAAGAACAAAGTCGCAACATTATACAGTAATTGCTCGGCCATCTTTCCACGAGCGACTTATCAGAACCAAGGGATCTTGTAAAGGCTAAACCAAACGGCAAGGCTTTTGGCATTTCTGCTTTGTGAATAAAGGGGCTGGCCTTTGCTGTGGCTAACTCCCTTTCTGTAACATATTTGGGAATTAATTCCCACAGTTCAGAACTTTTTCATGAAAACAGTTTCCCCACTGCCAGGCCTTCATTCCTCTCACCTAGGTAACTGCAGAGATCTGTCTTCTTGCAATTATCTTTATCGGCAGGCATTTGGTCAGAGTTTAGGGTCCAGGCAAAGAGCATCCCATTTAGGACAGTCACAGATCTCCAAGGCCATAGAATTACCAGCTGCACAAGCTGCTGCTCTGGTTTTAACCCACAACACCCACGATCAAAATGGTTGATAACAGCATAGCCCAGAAATGATAATTTAGGAGCCTCAGTCTCTGCTTAGAGCTGTAAGTCCAACTCCAGACCTATGTCCATAGAAACTACAGTGTCTGGTGTAAGTGCTATCTGTTCAAGAGCCACCAGCTTTTCCCTGATTGTTTATGTAGGTTTTTTAGTTACCTGATATCCTCTAAGTATACTGGGAGAAGAGAAGTAGCACACTGATTTAAACAATTTGTACCCTATTCATAATTTTACTGAAAAATAACCCTTTTAAACTTTTATTTACCACCTGAAAATGTAGCATAGCACACTAACCTTCCCCTCTAGAATGTTCCTAGGATGATTTAATTCCCTTTCTTAACTAACTTTCTCCATTAAGGAGCTCACTTCAAGTGTACTATACACTCCCATAGATCTATGTGTGCATGAGAAAACCCTTATCTTATTTCATATGGGGCAAAAGAATTCCAGCCCTGGAATGGAACCTCCTAGGACTGGGGAATTGCTGATATTAAGGATATATATATATATATATGTATATATATATATGTATATATATATATATAAAACTGGGAACATTTGTAATGGGTAGGACAAGGAAGAACAAATAAAACTAAGAACAATATAGAACAAGGCAGAACAAGGGAGAGGAAGGATGAACAGTGAGAACTGATGAATTGACGAGAGTAGAATGAAGAATTATGAATAGACAGAATCTGTTGTGATTAGACTTCTTTACCCTCACTCAGATCTTTAGGCTCCCTTTGGCTATTCATGATGTCTTTATTTGAATCCTGAAAGGAGTCATAAAGGCTTAACCTTATAAGGCTCCCATTATTATGCTGATTGACTGATTGATTAATTGATTATATGTGTGTGCTTGTGTGTTCTCAAACAAATCTGCAAAATTCACAGTACCAGTTGTTTTCCTTCTACCATGTGGGTCCCTGAGATTTAACTCAGATTGTCAGACTTGGCAGCAAGCACTGTTGCCCACTGAGTAATTCTGTCTGCCAAATCCTTGCATGTTTCAGAAATTTTGGGTAATTTACTTTGAGCTAAAGAGGTGGTATAACTTTAATTTCCTCTAAAACAGAGAGAAAAGTACCAATGAGGTTGAACAAAGATAAGTTGCAATGTTTTTGATTCTTTGTACTTGACATGTTAGTTTCAAATTTTATTGTGCTTGAATATTTGGAAAACTTTAAACTGTAATTATATTAAATTACAATAAATATTCTGGGAGCACTTCTGCTTCCAGTCTGACAGGAATTCACTTTTCATCCTGTTGTTGCTGAGGGCAAATAATATCTGAACACTAGATAAAACAGTTTAAAAATTTACCATTGCCTTAACAAGGAATGTACCTTGTGGAAATAGTGACACAAATGATGAGGAACTAACCACTTTTGGTTGGATTCGGGGTCTTCTACAAGATAAAACACATTCCTGGCACAATAATTAGACAGATCATAGGCATTAGGAAAGAATCTACTATTATTCTGCTACGCAACATAGTTTTAAACTAAATCCTGATGACCTGTTGTTATACTCATAGATTGAGACATCTCTCAACTTTCATAAGAAAAGTTTCTGACTTTTGTTTTCAATAGATGGTGGTCAACACAGAGATCTCAAATAGTCAAGATGCAGAGAAGAAGAGACAGTTGATTACCAAACCCCAGATGGAGCAGATATACGACATCCTCATATGAAAAACTCAGGGGTCATTACAGAAGAGGAGGTCAATGAACATAGCACCAACCACAGGCAATAGATGACTACAAAACACGGAGACAGTGGGACTGATCTAAGGGGAACTCACTAAGGTCAGCTGGAATGGGATTGAACAAGCATGTTATCAAGCCGGACTCTCTGAATGTGGCTGACAATGAGGGCTGACTGAGAAGCCAATCATAATGACACTGGATTTGGATTCTACTGCATGTACTGGCTTTTTGGGAACCGAATCTGTTTGTGTGCACACCTTCCTAGACCTGGATGGAGGCGGGGAGGGCCTTGGACTTTCCACAGGGCAGGGCACACTGACTTCTCTTAGGACTGGAGAGCTAGGAGGAGGGGGAATGGGGGAAGTGGGAGGGAAATGGGAGGATGGGAGGAGGTGCAAATTTTTAATTAATAAATTAATTAATTAAAAATCAGAGCAAAATTGATGTTTGCCTTCAGGATGCAACATGGTAGTTGCACATGTAAACTCACAGTAATTATGAAACCATAAAAATATCTGTACAAGTCTAAACTGAACAAAATCTCAATATGGAAAAGGGAAGAGAGCACACATCCAATCCCTAATAAGGCACTATTGACAATATTTACCTGCTGGTCAATAAAGCTCAGTTTTCACAAAAAGTGTAACCACTGACAAATCAACAACATTCTAGCAGAATTCCATAAATACAATAATATTTGGGAATCATGAACTGGCTTCAATTGGTTGTGATGCAATTTTATATAGGAAGTCAGTGAATGGCAAATAGAGTGTGTCTGGAAAGAATTAGGGCATGAATATGATCAGAATGCTTAGTATGCAATTCTCAAAAATATTAAGTTTTTGGAGGGTGGAGAAAACCTAATCCACTGGAAACCTTTAAAGCCAGGAAATGAGATGACAGAAAGTCCATTAACGGTTTTTGTTGTTTTGATTTGATGATTCTTTATAAATCCATGACATAGGAAGCTAGTAAAAGGCAAACAGCAATGGAAGCAAATGGGAAAGCATCCTTCATCCAAGTTTTATCTCTAAACAAAGCATTGTAACCCTGAGACAATGTCAGATTGCAAAAACAGACAACTTGAGATAATCACTACTTCCTACAAACACCACAATACCACCATAGCAGCAAACATGACCCATGAGAGCAAAGACCAAAGATGAGCCTGAAGATCTGTGCACGTCTGACTATTATGAGATGCCCTTACCCACGTTTTTGTGATGTTATTGAAGTAGGTGAGTTGAAAATCAGGTATTCATTTATTCAGAGGGGCAGTAGTTCCTCATTCTCCCAAATTTTCCAACAATAGTAATTATACTCCTCTCATTATTTTTTCACTACGGTAACTCAAGAGAACATGCATCAGAATCTGAGATAG